TCATTTTGAGTATTAACCATTGAATTAAATTTTCCATTAGAACAATAGTTATCGAAAAATTACTCAATAAATTTAATACTGTTTTATTGACATCATTTGAAACAGTAAAATTACAACGACCGATATGTTTGATTTGGTCGTAGCTCTGTTGTGGAAGATCTTCAACTCTGACTGTCGTCTGAATGATTAAAGTTGATTCAAGATGTTCAAAATATATTTCATCAGTAATGGTTGTTGAAGCAGAAACTTCATCAAGAATTAATTGTATTAGCTCTATATCTGTACGTGAAAAACATACAGAATGTTGAAATTGGCATGTATCTGTTACTGCTAGTAATCTTGTAAATTCAATCCAATCATCTTCTGTAATCTGAGAACGTCTTGCTAAATGCATTGTAGAATGAAGTAGTCTTTCTATATACAGTAAGGTGCAAAAATATTTGCCCTCCATGTTTCAAGTGTTTTTTCGTAAGAATAAAATGAATATGAAAACCGATTATGTGGACAGATAGTGTATAGTACAAGGTACAAAGATACTATAATTAATTGGTGATTTCTTCAACATTGCAAATATTAAAAGCAAAACATTATGCTTTCATCGATGTAAAGAAACAATTTAGAGTAGTGTAGCGTGTTGTCTTTCTTTCGTTATGTAGAAAACTTAGTAATAAGCAAACGATTAGTGATTTCCGCCACTCATTAAGACGCTTTGTGATCATAAAGAGAATATCCAATGTGCTGACCATAAAAGTGATCAGCAATGCCGATAAATACATTCAGTTCCCTAGATAGCAATCCTGTAGTTGCTCCACTGCAATGTCTGTGCCATTATTTTCTATGATTTTTTCTATTGGCCGATTTGGCGCCTGGTAGCGGATAGGAGATGATTTGGAACGTAGTAAAACTATCGGCATTATTTGGAAAACATCGCAATTAATCAGAGCCTCAACGTAAGACTCACCAGAGAAGAATATGTACACTGTGTTCTAAGTGATCCACTAGAGCTCGGTAATTGAATTCATGAACCATCAGAAAGTGATTGTGCTGAAGGACTGTTAGCAAGCAATGTCAGTGATTATGTCTCGGCTGTGACTGTTGCTTCTCTGGTGGATTTCCTCCCTGACACATACATTTTTGCACTTTTTGTAACAATATTAACTTTCCATAGAACAGAATATCCCTATCACCGATCCATTTAAGCTACAACTCTATCATGTATCTATGTAAGTGCTGATCATGATGCTAAAGAAGTTTCAGGATCAATCCTCTCATTTTTATCTGATTCTCTCACTGAATTCACTGTTCGACCATTTTATCAATATAAGTAGTAGTGTGACGGGATCGAGTACTGTGCTGTCTGTACTCGACTATGCCTTTTCTTTGGTCTGGTTTTCATTGTAGTAGATTGCCTTCATGAGGATATCAATTCAGAAAGTAATGGTTTTAGAAAATCAATGACGGTCATTCCCGTAGTGTAAACGAGTTTATTGTTTCATCTCTAGGAGTGCCCAACTTTATAACAAAAATATTTTCTCCTAATCTAAGCACACTTTTGCTAATTTGCAATTAACACAAGTATATTTAGATCTTTTCTTCATCTTCTAGGCAGTTCTCAAAAAATCTTCATACGAACTTTTAAAGATACGATGTTAGAAAGCTTCATCAAGCAAAGGGCAAAGACTTTTGCACCTTACTGTACAATGGATGTAAAGATAATTCTAAAGTTCGCATTATTGAATTCCACGTATGATTATTTATGAAGTATAGTTTATCTAGAAATTGGATTCTTCTTCCGCTAACAGAGTTTCTCTCTTGTAACTGATTTACATTTTGACATAAATTGTGAAAAACTATAGGATCATCCCACAGAAAGTCATAGAAAAATGTAGAGAAATAAGTACGAACTCTTGGAAGATGTTATTTTGCCGAAGCATGTTCAAGGATTTTCATCATTGTTTTTTCTCCTAATACAGATAGCCTCTTACTTGGCTTCTGAACATCTCTTTCGGGATGTTGAAAAAGTCGTTGAGCTCTATATCTCATTTGATCGTTATCACTTTCTAGTAAATCTATAATTGTTTCAACTGCTGGTTCAAAAATATTTTTTATTTCGGCAAGTAAAAGAGCTGATAACTTTTTAATTTGACTGTTATCATATTGAGTAAACCATCTCTGAACAATCGGTAATACTTCATTTGACGGTTTTATAATATAAGGGAAAAGCATTGATAGATTATCTTCTTTTCCTTCTTGCATCAATTCATCAATAATAGTAGCTATTTGTGGCGTTAAAAATATTTCATCATGTAAGCCATTGTTTAATATCTTTTCTATATTTGACTGATTATCAGTATCTTTAACAAGATTAATCCATAATTGATCTATGCCATCGGTTTTATCAATAACTAATTTTGTGTCATGCAATTGTGCAACCAACACAAATAAAGATTGAAGCTCCGTATAATTTGGAATATCGACAATTTGTTTGTTATCATTTTCTAAATTTTGATTTATATCTAAATTTAAGTTTGACTGAGAAATTTGTAATGTTTCAGTAAATAATATTCTTTCATAATAAGAATTGACAAAATAATTATGCATTTTGTTCTTGAGTGTTTCTATCATTCCATTTAGTTTGATTAGAAGATCATAATAAATACTAATTAATGGTTCCATTTTAATGATTAATTTGATTTTATCATTATCTTCATTCATTCGGTCAAGTGTTTCTATAGCAATAGCTAAATACTTTTTTCGAAATTCTCCTGATCCATAAAATGATAATCTTATCGATGCGATAATTCGATTATGAAGATCATCAATATTGTCAAATATTAAAATTAACTCGTCAACAATCTTCTGAATGAAGAATTTTACGATCTACTTCCTTGTAGTGAAAAATACTAAAAATTTTTTCCAATATTTGAAACTTTAAAGTTGGCTTTTGAATATTTTTTTGTTAATATAAAAGATTCATTTAACAATTCATAACTTTTTTCATCATAAAATTCAGCTAATTGATACAATGCTCTTGATTTATAATAAGGATTACACATGGATTGAATTCGTTCTAATAAAAATTCTTTTACATCTGACTTTTCTACTAATTCAGGTAGTAATTTTCTGTAAATTCCAAAACTATCATGGTCGTTTGAAGTAACTCCAAAATGTAATAATACAACTAATGAAATCAATTCTGGATTTTTCTTGAAACATCCGTTTTTAAGAAAAGTTTCAGAAACGGTATCAACTAA